CAGATTCTCCAGCATCTGCAGTTCCTACTATCTCTGAAACATCTTTAAAAGGTTTCTTTAGTCTACTTCCACCTATTTCTCTCAGAGGGAAAGAGACAGAGAAAATATTCTTTGAAATTTGTGTCACAGGTAGCCAGGGTGGTTAAGAAGACATTTGAGCATAGGAATAGGATATCATGTTGAAGTTGTACAAGACATGGGTGAAGCCTCTTCTGGAGTACTACATGCAGTTCTGGTTGCCCTGCTGTGGGAAGGATATTATTAAACTAGAGAAGGTCCAGAAAAGATTTACCAGGATGTTGCTGGGAATGCAGGGTTTGAGTTATAAAAATAGACTGGATCAGCTGGGACTTCTTTCACTGAAATATGGGAGGTGACCTTACAGAGCTTTATAAAATCAATAGGGGCATAGATAAGGTGAATAGCAAAGGTCTTTTCCCTAAGGTGGAGGAGTTCAAAACTAGGGAGCATATTTTAAAGGTGAGAGGAGAAAGATTTAAAAAGGACATGGGGGCAACTTTTTTAAGACGCATAGACAGTGGTTAGTGTGTGGAATGAACTGCTGAAGGAAGTGGCGGATACAGGTACAGTTACAAAGTTTAAAAGACATTTAGACAAGTATATGAATTTGAAAGGGTTGGAGGGATATGGGCCAAATGCAGTCAGGTGGAACTAGTTTAGTTTGGGAACATGGTCAGTGTGGACTAGTTGGACCAAAGGGTCTGTTTCCATACTGTATGACTCTAAATGGACATTGAAACTGGACTGGTATGTGGATATAAGATATTATTTGCATAGACAATAAAATATTAACACATTGTTACAAATTAGAATGGCGTTAGCTCAGCCAATGTAAAGTGGCTGCTGTGTTTTTTTACATCACAACAGTGATTCCATTTTAAAAGTACTTCTGTATTTAGACTGCATTTGAGAAATCCTAAATTTCTGAAAGGTGCTGTTACAAGTTTTGCTTTTGTTGAAGATGCACAACAACTAAGTTTAAACAGATTCATACAAAGAATTACAATTTAACCTAAATTCTACATCCACAGTTAGTCAACAAGTTTAGTACAAAACTGAAATATACAGCATTAACGGGATTTCACAGGGACAGTGTCATCCTTGACTCTGAAACATACAACTCAATTATAAAAAAAAACCCACAATCTCAAATAGGAACAAAAAATGCCAGAAATACTCAACAAGTCTATTAATGGATATGGAAAGAGAAACAGTCACAGATCGTGGCCCATCAGAACAATTCTCCACATACTACCAGACCTGCTGAGTATTTCCAGCATTTTTAATATTTTGGATGTCCAGCATTTGTGGTATTTTGCTTTTGTATTAGCCCCAAAATTGAATATTGGTTGCTGAAACATCTTGCAGAACAGCACAAACTGCTTTAAATGGCCAGCAATTCCAGAATTGTTTGAAAAATTCTCAAACAAACAAGGACCGAAAATCTGTTTCAGATAGATTAATGGGAAAAATACATAGATATACAACAATTCCTATTTATATTTTACCTTTAAGGCAATAAAACATCCCAACATGATTCAGAAGAGCATTAGCAAACAAAATTTGACACTAAACTACAAGATACTAAGTGACCAAATGCTTAGTCAAAGATAAGCTTTAACAAATCATTTAAGAGGAGTGAAAGACAGTGATGTTTAGGGAAAGAATTTCAGAACTTAGGCCCGAGCAGTTCAAGACAATGGTGGAAGTTATGAAAATTGGTGATATGCAATATACCAGAATTGGATGAACGCAGAGATATTGCAAGCTTTAGGTCTAGAGGAAGAGGTCATAAGAGATAATTCCTAATATTTGGTAGCTATACCAAACCTAAGCTCAATGGATGAATTAATTTCATTTTTCATATAATTTATTAACTTAAGAGAAAACTGAACAAATTGTGAAAAAAATGTGGTGGTTACATCTGGGACTATTATATCTGTACCTTTGTAGCTTGATCCATTCTTGTGTGGAGAATGCTGCATATTGTTAACCTAATGAAATTTTTATAATGTACACTGCTGTACAAACCTGTGCTCCATCAATACTTTAGGCAGTTACTGTATTCTCCTGAAGCTAGGATCAAATTACTGTAAATGTATTTTTATTTACAATCAGATACAAGACATTTTCAAAATGATATTACAGAATTTTTTAAAAATTAAAAATAATTAATTTTCACCATGCATCCAGCTGCAATGAGTCTCTTCAGTGTTTCAGGAGGTCAAGATGTGAGGCAAGATTAGAGCTGACTGTTCTTTCTATATAAATTCAAACCAAGTATCCAGTTGCATTATTTGCCATTCAAACAGAAAGTGACTGAAGACCAAGGCGAGTTCCATTTCTTTGTTATAACGCACAAGAAACATTTAATCGGACCTGCATGTTCAATGCAAAGCAGTTGTGTGTAGTTTACGATGGGCAACCTCCATGCATCAGCACCACTGCTGTATTAAATTATTTCTTCCACACAAAACCCTAAGTACATGATTCACAACTAGTTCAGGGTTTGGCTAATACCAATGGAAACTGGTATTTAAGTGCTGATACATTCTCACAGCTGCTATCTAGCCCAGTTACTTCAATCCAAAGCTGGTACCCATCCCAGTCCTTGGATCCATTGTTAATACCAAAGCTGGTTCCTGTCCCCATTCAAACAAGGACTGCAAATGTTTGACTTTCATGTAGTTTATGCAGGTATGAGTAAACAATTAAACAAAACGTGAAACTGAGGTTTTCTGAGAGTCATGTCTCAGGCTGTTTTGTCTGTTCCTTTCTTGCTTGATCCATTTCTTCAATTTTTAGTTCCTCATCAAGTCGTTCCTTTGCTCTCACTACCTGGTAACAACAAAGATTCATTTAAAAGTTATAAGGTGCTAGGATTTCATGAAGGCCCTTTGAGGTGTTGCGTGAGGATGTATTTCTACATATTTGTAAGAAATGTATTTTGAAGAAGGGCTGTCTGGTAAAACACACGCATTTGCTGATAGAGATCAATGAATAAAAGAACAGCAGCCAGAACTCTGCCCAATTTCCCCTCTTAGTCAGCTCTGGCTGTAACCAGTTAATTCAGACCATCAATTAAATCCTGATGCAATATCATACCACACTGCACACTGCAATCACTCATTTGTGGGAACTCAAAAATTAAGACTCAATTTTGCCTGTCTATGTTTCAAAATAAATTCAACAAAAATTCCTACAAGAAGTGCTTAATTAGAGCATGATTCCCTTGCTATCATCCTTTGGAATTTAAAATCAAATAAGAAAATAATATTTTACTGATTTTGAGATATGACTAACTTCAAGGGAGTATTTAAAATCCCAAGATTGAGTTTGAAGCCAAAGGAAGAACAATATAAATTATGAACTCTCACCTTGGACTGCAAATAGAACGATCCACCCACTGACTTGTCATTGACTTTGAATAAATGCTCATAGTTCTGGTTTCAATGAGGAGAGAGAAAAAAAATTAACCCATGGTTAAAATGTTTCCTAAGTAGGACAACGAGACATTAGATAGCAGAGGTGCAGTGGTAAATTAGCAGTAGATACATCAAGACCTTTCATGTGATAGGATCAAGGCCTCTACATACGAGATAGATGACTCACTAATGAATGTTGACCATCTCTTCACACTAAATAGCACTGGTAGTTTAAATCTCCACATGGTTGTCTCTCTCACCTAAACTATAGTTCTGATTAAGAATTGATTAAACATGACAGTACTTGTCACGGAGGTGTTGGCCTAGTGGCATTATCACTGGATTATTAATCCAGAGACCCAGCTAATGTTCTGGGTACTTGAGTTCGAATCCCACCATGGCAGATGGTGAAATTTGAATTCAATAAAAACTTGGAATTGAAAGTCTAGTGATGACAGTGCAACCATTGTCGATTGTTGGAGGAAACCCATCAGGAGGAAAGTGCTGTTCTTATCTAGTGTGGCTTACATGTGACTCTAGACCCACAGCAATGTGGTTGACTCTTAACTGCCCTCTGGGCAATAAATGCTGAGCAAGCTAGTGATGTTCACATTCCATAGAAGAATTTGTTAAAAAATTCTGTGATTTCCTGAGCATGAACAGAGTTACCAACTGATTCAGCTAGGTTATTGGTCAAAGAAACATCTAAAACAAAAGCGAAACACTGTAAAAGTTGAAGATCTGAAATAAAAATAAAGAGATGGAGGACCTCGGCAGGTCTGGCAGCATTTGTGACTGGGGAAACCAGGATTAATGGTCTCCAAAAATCCATACTGAACTTGAAATGTGAACTCTTTTCCCTCTCCATAGTGACCACCAGACCTGCAGAGATTTTCCAGGATGTCATGTGTTTACTTCAACATTACCTTGGTTTTATTTACCTCCATACAGATTTGCATTTTATAATGATAAATAACTGATCATTGATAATATCTGTATCACAGATGATTTGGTCATAGTGTCCAATGTAGCACTTTAGCCATTACTGTGTCTGTTTCAAGCTGGACTGATCACAGACTGATGAATCTGGGACATTTATTTAAGGGTCATCCAATTGGTGTGCAGTTTTGCAACTAATGGGGGACTTAATCATGCGGGCACTCTGTGTGTAACATTGAGAAATGCTGCATTGCTAGAACTGCTATCTTTTGCAAGATTTAAACTAAGTGCAAGATCCCATGGCACAATTTCAAAGAAGAACTGGGGAGTTTTCCAGTGTTCTAGCTAATGTTTTTGTCAATCAATATTGCCAGGAGATGGACTATTTGATCATTCATTTGCTGTTTGTCAGAACTTTCTGTGCACAAAGTGGTTGTCACATTTCCACAAATCACCCAGACTTTGCTTCGAAAGTACTTCACTGAATTTTTGAGACATTCCAAGGACATGCTATGACACTGAATAAATGTAAGTTTTTTTTTGCTTCCTTTAATCATCATGCTCCACATTGGAATTCTAATCCCGATAAAGTCCAAAATAATTTGTTTAGACAAGGCAAAGCAGCAGAGGCCAAAGATCCTACCTGCTGGATCTCCTTTGTATTGAGCTTTGTCACGTTAAGAATCTGCCGTGCTTCCTGCAGTGACATTCCGTTGATGTTGGTGGCTGCTGGATGCCGACCAGCTTGGCCACGAGCTTCTGCTGCAGCTTTACTTGCTGAAGGAAACAGTGATTTGAAACAAGCACCAGTCACAAAGTCTATCTTAAATTAGTCATATTGCAGTAATGTATTACTTAAAATCAGAAGATTCAACAGTTACTTTTGAAAGAATTGGATATATAATTAAAAAGGAAATAATTGTAGCAACACGGGGAGCAGGGGCTGAGTTGTTCCAATTGAATATCTTTCAAACAGCCAGAGCAGACAGAATGGGTTGAAAGGTCTCCTGTGCTGTAAATACAATGAAGTAGTCGGACTGACAGATGACTTTTTTCTTTTAATAGCCTTAGTTTAATAATAAAACTTGAACCATCTCACCAGTCCTATCCAAATAATATTACTGCCAACTACAATCAATATGGCCAATATGTGGCCCTTAAGACCATAAGGTAGGAGCAGAAGTAGGTCATTCAGCGCAGAGTGTACACTGCCATTCAACGGGATCATGGCTGATCTGATAATCCTGAACTCCACTTTCCTCTTTCCACCTACCTTTTCTCCAAAAATCTTTGATTCCCTTACTGATTAAAGATGTCTATCTCAGCCTTCACTATACTTAATGGACCCAGTCTCCATAGCTCTCCACAGTAAAGAATTTCACAGATTCACTCCCCTCAGAGAAGAAATTCCCCCTCATTTCTGTCTTAACTGAGCCCTTATTCTGAGATTATGTCTTCTGGTTCTAGACTGTCCCACATGGGGAAACAATCTTTCTGCATTTACTGTAAGAACCTTGTATGTTTCAATAAAGTCACCTCTCATTCTTCTTTATTTCAATGAGTACAGGACCAGTCTACTAACCAGCCCTCATAAGACAGTCTCTTCTTAACTGGTTATCGGCCTAGTGAACCTTCTCTGGACTTCCTCCAATGCCAGTAAACCTTTCCTTACATAAAAGAGCCAAGACTGTTTACAGTATTCTAGCTGTGGTCTGACTAGTGACTTGAATGTTTTTGGCAAAACCTCCCTACTTTTAAACTCTGTTCCTTTTGAAATAAACAACATTCCATTTGCCTTTCCTATCACCCTCTGAACATGTATGTTTTTTGTGATTCATGGAGGATAACTCCTAAATTTCTCTGTTGCATAGCATTCTGCAGTTTTTCTCCATTTAAATAACGTTTTTGCCCACTTGCTTAACCTGTTTATATCCATTTGCAGACTCTTTGCTTCATCCTCACCACTTGCCTTCCCACTCATTGTTGTGCCATCTGCAAACTTGGCAACAGTACATTCATTTGCGTCATTCAAGTTATTATGATATTGTCGATAATTGTGGCCCTGGCACTGATCCCTGATGCACCCCACTACTTTACAGGCTGCCATCCTGAAAATCCCCCCCTTATCCAAACTCGCTGTCTTCTATTAATTAGCCAATCATCTTTCCATGCTAATGTACTACCTCCAACACCATGGACTATCACCTTATTAAGTAGCCTAATTTGTAGTACCATATCAAATATCTCTGAAAATCCAAATATACTTTATCCATTGCTTCCTCTTTATCTATCCTGGTTGGTGTTTCCTCAAAGAATTCCAGTAAATTTTGTCAGGCCTGATTTCCCCTTCATGAAGCCATGCTGACTCTGCTTAATCATTTTGAGAGGCTGATACTTGCATTATTCTTTCTGAACTTGGTTTGCTTAAGAAGGTTATACACTTCTAAATCCTCTGCAGTTATATCCTTCATAATAAACTCGTTAACATTTTCCCAATAATAGATGTTAAGCTAACTGGCCTGCTTTTTGTCTGTTTCCTTTTATTTATGAAAGGTGTTACTTTGGCAGTTTTCCAATCCCCTGGAACATTTCCAGAATCTAAGGATATCTGGAAGATTATTACCAATATGTTCACAGTCTATGTAGCTACTTCCTTTAATATCCGAGGATACGTCTCATCAAGTCCAGGAGACTGATTGGCCTTTGGTCTCATTAGTTTTCCGAAGACTTTTTTCCCTCTAGTGAAAGTTATTGTATTTATTTCCTCTACTCCTTTTGCCCCTTTATTATTTAGCAAGTTTGAAATGCTATTAGTGTCTTCTACTGTGAAGACCAATGCAAAGTATTTATTCAACTCCTGCATTTCCTGGTTCCCCATTATTATTTCCCTAGCCTCATTCTCTAATGGGCCCATGTTCACTTTGGCTTCTCTCTCCCTTTTTATTTATTTAAAGAAGCTCTTGCTGTCCATCTTGATATCATTCGCAAATTTCACCTCAGTTTATCCTCTCCTTCTATTTATTTTTTGGCTGTTTTTGTTGATTTTTTAAAAACTTGCCCAATCTGCTGGCTTGCTACTAATTTTTGTCGCATTTTATGTTTTTTTCTTTCAATCTGATGCTATCCTTAACTTCCATGATTGAACATGGTTTGCTTATGCCCTTTCTCTAACCCTTCTTCCTTACTGGGATATATCTTTGATTTTCTAAAATGTCTGCCATTATTCCTCAATGGTCTTTGCTATTAAACGCTTTCCCCAGTCCACTCTAACCAGTTGTGCCCTCATTCCTTTGTAATTACCTTTACTTAAGCTTAGCACAGTTGATACAAAAGCAGAGATGTACTGCTGAAATTATATAAAGCTCTGGTCACACCACATTTGTAATATTGAGATCAATTCTTGGTCCCGTATCTAAGGGAGGATGTGCTGGCGTTGGAGGGGTCCAGAGGAGGTTCACAAGAATGAGCATACTTGATGGCCACATGTTCTAATTCTGTTCCCGTATCTCATGGTCACCTTCCCAAGTTCCTCCTTCTCAAACTGAATGCTAAATTCTACCATGAACATAGAACAGAACAGTACAGCACAGTACAAGCCTTTCGGCCCACGATATTGTGCCGACCTATTATCCTACTAAGATCAAACTATCCTGCATTTTACTATCCTCCATGTGCCCATCCAAGGGTCGCTTAAAAGTCTCTAAAGTATCTGACTCCACTACCACTGCCGGCAGTGTATTCCACACAGCCCACCACTCTCTGTGTAAAGAACCTACCTCTGACATCTCCCCATGCCTTCCTCCAATCACCTTAAAATTATGCCCCCTCGTAATAGTCATTTCCGTCCTGGGAAAAAGTCTCTGACTATCCACTCTATCGATGCCTCTCATCATCTTTTAAACATCTATCAAGTCACATCTCATCCTTCTTCACTCCAATGGAAAGAGCCCTAGCTCCCTCAACGTTTCCTCATAAGACCTGCCCTCCAGTCCAGGCAGCATCCTGGTAAATCTCCTCTGCACTCTCTCTAAAGCTTCCATATCCTTCCTATAATGAGGTGACCAGAACCGAACACAATATTCCAAGCGTGGTCTAACCAGGGTTTTATAGAGCTGCAGCATAACCTCGCAGCTCTTAAACTCAATTCCCCTGCCGATGAAAGCCAACACACCATATGCCTTTTTTTCAACCCTATCAACTGGAGTAGCAACTTTGAGGGATCTATGGATGTGGACCCCAAGATCCCTCTGTTCCTCCACACTGCCAAGAATCCTGCCATTAACCCTGTATTCTGCATTCAAATTCGACCTTCCAAAATGGATCACTTCACACTTTTCTGGGTTGAATTCCATCTGCCATTTCTTTGCCCAGCTCTGCATCGTCTCAATGTCCTGTTGCAACCTACAACAGTCCTCCACGCCGTCCACAACTCCACCAAACTTCGTGTCATCGGCAAACTTACTAACCCACCCTTCCATTTCCTCATCCAAGTCATTTATAAAGATCACAAAGAGCAGATGTCCCAGAACAGATCCCTGCAGAACACCACTGGTCACCGAGCTCCAGGCTGAATACTTTCCATTTACTACCACCCTCTGTCTTCTATTGGACAGCCAATTCTGTATCCAGGCAGCCAAATTTCCCTGAATCCCATGCCTCCTTACTTTCTGAATGAGCCTACCATGTGAAACCTTATCAAATGCCTTGCTAAAATCCATATACACCACATTCACTGCTCTACCTTCATCAATGTGTTTTGTCACATCCTCAAACAATTCAATAGGCTTGTGAGGCATGACCTGCCCCTCACAAAGCCATGCTGACTATTTCTAATCAAACTGTGCTTTTCCAAATAATCATAAATACTATCTCTCAGAATCCTCTCCAATAATTTGCCCACCACAGAAGTAAGACTGACTGACCATGTTATGGTCATGTTTTGTTTTACTCTGACATCATTTATTAAACTTGCCTCATTATACGTAATCAGATCCAAAATAGCTCAATCTCTGGTTGGATTCACACAATATTGTTCTAGGACACTGTACTCATTATACTATGAATTGTTCTTCATTCCTCCCTCTGCCAATCTACCACAATCTACAAGAAAATTAAAGTCACCAACGATAATATACCACATTTATTACGTGCCCTTATCTCTTACTTCATTCTCTGTCGACTGTATAACTATTGTGAGGGGGCCTATAAACTACTCCTAACTATGTTCTTTCCATTTTCCACTACCTCTTCCGATTCAGGATCACAGAGGTTCCAAAGTTGCCACTGAAATCTTACCCCATCAATATCAGCTCTGGTTTAGAGGTCAAAACTCCTGCTTGCAACAGCAAGTCATGGCTTGAAGCCCCACTCCAGAGACATGAGCCCATGTGTTAACCACACAGTACTGAGGGAGTGCTGCATCACTGGAGAAGCTGCCTCAAATGAACGTGAAAGATCCCAGCGCCCCATTAAAAGAACATCAGCTGAGTTCTCCCTGGTGTCGATGTTCATCATTCACTGAAACGTCAATAAAACTAAAGCCAACAACAAACATCAGATCAGCTTTGGGCTTTTAAAAATAAATCTTCCGGCGTCTTCAATTACTCACCAGCCATTTCCTGCCTCACTGCCCGAGCAAATGCTCTCCCCACCACTTGGGCTCCAACGATGATGATCTGAACCAAGTATCTGGCCTGTACACAGACAGAGAGAGATGGAGAGAAGGCGGATGATTAGATCCCAGTAACTGAACAGCAGCTCACTGCACATCCAGGCCCGGAACCCCCGGCCCGGGGCCGAGACCCCGCGGATCAGCGGCCCCGGACACCCCCCGGGATCTCTCCCCGACGGACCCACCGCACACCTCCCCCCCTCCCCCGATCCTCGATCCTCGATCCTCGATCCCCGATCCCCAACCCCCAACCCCCCCGACGCTCCCACCGCATACCCCGCGGGATTCCCCGACCCGGTTTTCTCACCATCGCCCGGTGCCGGCTCCGTTCCTCCAGGAATATCCAGGAACCACGAGCAGTGTCAAGGACGAGTCAGGGTCAAAGGGCAGAAGCCGGAGCCGGCAACAATCCCTCCATGGAAACAAGAGAAGACTCGGTCGATGTCACTCAGCTGGTGTGAGCGCCTCCCTGCTGGATTGGAGGACGCATACATCGCCCCTGATGCAGACTGCGTCCCCTGGCGGAGGCAAAGAGCACAAACTGCAGCAAGATTTCTCGGAAGTTTCAGCTTCTTTCCCGCTTCTCCACATTAAAACCTTGGCAAACTGGCATATTATTATTATCATCATCAACAATAACTGTCAAAGTTAAAAAGATAAGATTTAATTTACCAGCGTTGTGGGGCATGGACAATTTTAATAATATGTTAGTTGCAAAAGTAAGACTTGAGAGCCAAATTGTTTTTACAGCCAAATGAGACATTAAAATTTAAGGATGAATTCCTGAGTGGCCACAAGAGGTTGAGCAATTGAACTGGGAGTGCTTATGAGATCAGCATAAGGATACTAAGATCACTGAGGGTTGTGGAACTGGGGGATAGGGGACATAAAGGAATTTAAAACAAGGGTGAGAATTTTAATGCCGAGGCGTGGCGTAACCCAGAGCCAATATCAATCGGTGTAAATCGGGAGAAGGGTGAGGCGGTGAAGGTTTGATATGAGTAAGGAAACAGCAGAGTTTTGAATGAACAACAGTTTGGTAAGAGTAGATTAAAACTAAGAACTGCGGATGCAGGAAATCAGAAACAACAACGGAAATTGCGGGAGAAACTCAGCAGGTCTTGCTGCATCTGTGGAGAGAAAGCAGAGTCAACAAAGGGCCACCGGACCTGCAGAGTTTCTCCAGCAAATTTCTGTTGTTTTACTAAAAGGAGGTTGTGGAACGCCAGCCAGGAGTGTGTTGGGAAGTAACAAAATGCACGGATGAAGATTTCAGCTGCAGATGAACTGAGGCGGGGCAAATGCAGGCAATGTTGCGGAGGTGGAATCGGGTATTTTTACTGAAGGCTGTGTCGGAAACTAATATTCCGGCCAAACAATGAGATTAACGTTGCAAGCAATCTGGGTTAGCCTCAATTTCCACCATGAGTAATGAAGTCAGCGACTAAGGAGCAGAGTTGATCACATGTACCTGACAATGATTTTGGTCTTCACTATTTTGTTGGGAGTAAATTTTTGCTCATTTAGTACTGGATGTCAGATGAAGAGTCTGGTAACTGAGCATCCGTGGGTGGGGTTGAGAAAGGTGATGGTAAACTAGAGCTGGGTGCAGCCAGGGAGCATGCAATGCTGTGTTTTTGGATGATGTAAATAAAGAGCAGTATGTAGATATAAAATGGAAAGGGAGCAAGAAGGGATCTTTGAGGGATACAGGTAAAGTGGGAACAGGAAGAAAAGCTGCTGCGTGTGATTCGCTGGCTACAACTGCGCAGAAAAGATGGAACCCGATGAGAACAGGCCCACCTCTTGAATGACATTGCAGAGGAAATGGAGGAGGATGGTATGGGCAGCTAAGTCAAAAGAGTGCAGACAGGTTGAACACAGATAGTTTACCTAAATAATAACCACATAGGATGCCACAGAAGAACAACAGGCAAAGAGTCCAGTTTTAATTCTTGCAGAGAGGCTAGAGAACATGTAGATTTTGAAAGTCCAATTGGAATGTCATCAATCCAAGATGTAATTCGATACTTAGCATAAGAAGGATCTTTACAAAGGGGGCTTGGACTATTCCTTGTTCTTTATATGTTTATACTCCTCAGTAACAATAGAAAATACAGTAAAGCCACTGCTGCAAACTGGGACATTAACCATATTTCACTAATTTTTGGTTTTGGTGAATTTTGCAGTTCAAGTTCAGTGTTTTACAAATTCAGATTTCTTGCATTGTTCTTTAAAATCTGTAGACATGAAGCATTGCTGTCCTGACAAGCCTAAAGTGCCAAGTTCAGTCAGTTTGCAGTCGTGCAATTCATGCGGCTAGATCGTGTATGTCAGCGATAGAATGACTGGGTCAAAATTCAGTTGGCTGTTCAAGGAAAATCTAGCTGGATGTAGTTTGACTCCAATCTTCTTTTATCCAAGCTTGGATTTAAGTCATCTCATCTGTGATTCTATCGTACAAATATAAATTTTATAACATGTCAACAACTGCAAGAAAGAATTGCATTTCTATGCACCTTTCACAATTTCAGGTCATCCCAAATTTTCTTAAGCCAATGAAGTAAATTTGAAGTGAAGCAACTTTTGTAGGAAATTTGGGAGCATATTTGTGTAAAGCAGGTTCCCACAAACAGTTATGAAATACAAAACTGCATTATTTGTTTTAATTATATTGGTTGAGGGACAAATATTGGTCTGAATATCAGAAAGAATTCCTTCCACTTCTACAAAGTAACACAGTGGGTTCTTTTACATCCAATCAAGGGAGCAGAGTCTTGGTTTAAGCTGAAGTTGGTGTCTCAGACACTGCAGCATTCCCTCATACAGTACAGTAGAATCCATCTGGACTATGAGTTTAGTTTGAGGAATGGGACTTGACCACACAATCCCTAATTACCCTTGAGAATTTGTTGAGCCAGTTTCTTGAACCACCACTGCTTTCAGGTTTAGGGATGCCCATAATGCAGGGGAGTTCCAGGATTTTGACACATGGACTGTGAAGAAATAGTGATGTAATTTGAAGGCAGGATAGTGTGTAGCTTGGAGGGAACCTCATAAGTGATAGGGTGCCCATGTACCTGATGCTCCGGTTCTGGGTTGTGAGATTTTGTTGGAGGTGTCTTGATGTATTATCATGTATTATTGCAGTGGTCTTGTAGTGGTACATAGTACTGCCACAGTGTGTCAGTGGTGAAATGGAGTGAGCGTTGAAGGTGACTAATCAATCAAGTGGACTACTTTATCCTGGATGGTGTTGAGCATCTTGAGTGTTGTTAAAGTTGCACCCATCTAGGCAAGTGGGGAGTGTTCCATCACACTGACTTGTGTGTTAAAGATGATATACACGCAGGAATTCCTAGCCTTTAACCTGCTCTTGTAGCTTCAGTATTTAATATAGTTAGTCCATTCAGTTTCTGGTCAATGGTAGCCCCCAGAATACTGATAGTGGGGAGATTTAGCAATGATAATGCCATTGAATATAAAGGGGCAATGGTTAGATTCTGTGTTGTTGGAGATGGTTATTACCTGGCACTGTGGCAAATAAAATGCATGTCAGCTCAAGCCTGATACTGTCCATTTTTTGACATGGATTGCTTTAGTACCTGAGGAGCCGCAAATGGTGAACGTTGTGCAATCATTAGCATACATCCCTATTTTTGACCTCACGATGGAGGGAAGGTCATCAATGAAGTATAAATTTGCCAAAATCAGGTCTAGGACACCGCCACCTGGAAAAACTCAAACAATGATATCCTTAGATTGAGTTAATTGATCTCAAACAACCACAAACATCTTCCTTTGTGCTATGTATGACTCTAGCCAATAGAGACTTCAAATCCCTCTGACTCTCATTCATTTCAGGTTTGTTAGGACTCCCTGATGCCAACACTGTCAAATGCTGTTGATGACATCAAGGGGCTCCCCTCACCTCAGCACTTTTGTCCATGTTTGAAACAAGACTATAATGAGATTAGGATCTGAGTGGCCCTGGCAGAACCCAAACTGGGCGTCAGTAAGTAGGTATCAAGTGGCACTTTGTAATTGTTGGTAATTGGCCAGGTTGAGTTTGTCCTGCTTTTTGTGCACAGGATGTACCCGAGCAATTTTTTACATTGTCAGGTATATGCCAGTGTTATAGCTGTACTGGAACAGCTTGGTGATAGATATGAATAGTTCTGGTGTACTTGTGCCCTTGGGCATTTTTCAGTGAATCAAGATTTATGGGCTGCATGATTTAAATGGTACTGTGGGGGAATATAATGGGCCATGATGTTATAGATTGTGCATGAATACAGTTTGCTGCTGCTGATAGCTCACAGTGAACATGGATACCCAGTTCTAAGTTGCTAGATCTTTTTTAAGTCTGTCCAATTTAGTCCAATTTTAGTGCCACACAACGTCAGGTATTCTCAATATGAATACGTTAAATTTACCTCCAGGACCATGCAGTGATCACTTCTTTTGAAAATGTCATGTTCAGATGTGTTTGTGACTGGTAGTGAAGATGACGTCAAGAAAGTATTTTCTTTCCCTCACCATCTACTACGAACTCAGTCCCAGCAGCTACCAAGTCACTTTTGATGATGGATATTGAAGTCCTCCAACCAGGTGCATTCTGCAACCTTACCACCTTCAGGATTTCCTCCAAGTGGTGTTCAACATGGAAGAATACTAATTTACCTCCCTGGGGTAGGAGTGTTAGGTATGTAGGAATGGTAATCAGCAGGGTTGGCCTATGTTTGACCTGATGCCATGAGACTTCATGGGGCCTTGAGTCCAGGGCAGGTCTGTCCCCCTCCCTACTGGTGATACAGGATATACCTAGGGATGGGGTTGGTGATGTATGGAAATCATAGAATGCCTTTACTGACAATATTGGGGTGTTACATGACTGGTCTGTGGTACACGTCTCTCAGATGTTAGTAAAACAAACTTTTGAGGGTCAACAGGACTTGGTTTCCTGTTGCCTATTCCAGTATCTAAATTGATGTTGGGTTGTTCATTCAATTTCATTCCTTTCTGTAAACTAATGTAGCAACTTTGATACAATTAGTTGGCTTGTTAGGCCATTTTAGAATGCAGTTAGTAGTCAACCACAATGTTGTGGGTCTGGAGTCACATGTAGAATAAATTAGGTAAAGACAATTGATTTCATTCCTAAAAGGACAGTAGTGAACTAGATGGCCAAGGAAAAACGTACTGGAAAAATCTGTTCTCAGATCATGGAGTGAGGCTTGAACACTCAATCTTCTGAGTCAAAGGTCAGAGTGTCACTAATTTAGCATATGAGAGATCTTTGTCAGTGAGAGATTAAGTAATGATAAAGGATTATTCTACTTTATTTACATTAAGGCAGCTATCTATTTTCCTTCATTTAATTCAGAGTGGTGACTCACTAATGTTACTGTGATGGCATCTCCACAGCTATTGCCTTCCATCA